CCAATAGATCAAAATATATTTGGGAAGGATAAAATTACCAGATCAAATTTATTCTTATTCCTGAAAAAATAGTTGATAGAATTAAACAAGTCAAACTAAGAGGGGCAGAAAACAACCCATTTTGTTTTCCTGGACACTAGAATACTAAATATAGCAAAGTAATACAAAAACCAAAACAGGAAAAAGAGGAAATGGTGAGCAGAATATTGAAGGTATTCTAGAATATCAAATCAGTAATGCAGATGCTACTTATGTCTCTGAGGTATCCAGTTTAAACAATAAAACAGCTATGACACAAAAGAGAAGGTAAAAATGTTATCCTAATAATTTAATTCCTCTGAAAAAACTGGTACAATAACTGAGAACATAATGTTTAACAAAAGGTGAGAAATATGTAGTCTTCATGGCCAAAACAAAATTTTGGATTTAATACTAGAAAGTCCAGCTATTTCTGACATATGATTAAAGCTGGAGAGCTTCTAAAATCTGGCTATTACAACACTCATACAGCAAAATCTGGTTAATTTATCACTTAGGAGAGTGAAAATTATGACTAACTATCCAGGGGTGACTAATAAGTGGTAGCTGGCCATTTGATATTTTTCATAGTATGCATTTTGCAGGTTCTCAAGCTAAAGAAAAAATACACTGTAAAAATTCTGAGTGCAAATGGTATGCTCTTGGTCTTGCTATGTGCCAACTGCATGATTACATAGCTAGCGCACAGTTTCTTACTACAAAAATTCAGAGTGCTCATTAATTAAGAATTCAAGTGATTGTGATAAAGTAAAATAAGTAGTCAGAGATTTCTGCTGTGCACACTTATATGCACGCATCACCAAAATAAGATCATTCTCTAAAATGAAGCAGTTGATCATCTGTGTCAGGGGTTTTTAACCTCTTTTAATAAGTGTACCTCTGGCAGCAAGACATGGAGCAGGTGGGAGAAAGGGAGGGAGATGATGCACTGCCAAATGCAGAGCGGTGGCAGTGTGGGGTGGTGGATGGCAGTAGGGCCTGTCACTATGTGCAAGCTCCCCGCCCCGCCCTGCATCTGACCAGCCAGGCAGTGCCTGTGCAGCCCACAGAGGGGCGCCACTGCCCTCACCCAGCCCTGCTCCTGGGAGGCAGCAGCACAGGGTGGTGGGTAGCGGTGCTCCGTCCCCGCACACCCGTCCATAACCCTTACGGCCTTCCTGCATATGTCTTGGATACTCTTCAGCTTTTTTGGTTCAATGATGCTTTGAGCATCAGCTGACTTAACAAGATCCTACTAAGGAAAGGATAGCCTTTTAAACTAATTATCAGGAGCAAATTTTGACCATGTTTTACTATGAACATATTTTTGGAAGTGACTGATAAAGCTCTAACAGACTATTAAATATCCATAGAGTTTTGTGTACAAACCAACAAGAACCTGGCAGGAATTCAGCACATTAATCAATAAGACCATAGTAACTGCTTTTTTCTAGCAACTGATCACATTCTTTGAAGCAAACTAAAAATATATTTTTTAAACAAGACAAACAGTAAAATACTCAACATGCCAAATCATTAAACAGAGTTGGGAGTTTAAGGGAATAGTCACAAATATGACCTCATGACTTGACAATAAATTAATCCTAAAAGGTTTAACAGTACCACGTTCTGTAGATATAACTTTTTACAGAAACATAAAAAATATATTTATAATATGACAATCAGACTATTATAAAGATTCCTATTAATACTATTCAAGAAGCTGGGTTTCCAGATCCTGTATTTTGACAGAAACAAAAATTCTCACCTTAAATGTTCATATTTCCACACACCTTCATCCTGGCCTTCAGGAGGTTCAAGAATTTTGTCAATGTTGGAACAGTCTGCTCTTATATTTTGTTGGATATACTGAGAAGAAAGATTAATAATTTCTTAATATCCTTCAAAAAATGCTAGGACTCCATATTTAGAACTGGCCCCTTACTGTTAGCTCTTCGGACCTCTTAGATTCACAGAGGATGTGAGCAACGCAAATAGCAATACATCTAACTAGAAAAACAGTTAAACTGACAGACTAAAGTAAAAGAACAAGAAGAATTATGGTAGGTATAAGAGGATGGCCCCAAGATGCAGCGAGTAAATAATAAAATATCTTCACTGAATGAAAACTAGTAAGAGAATGAAACTTACTATGCACAAAAATAAAGCCTTTGCCTTTAAGTTTGATTGGTGAAACTGTACATGTAGAAGAGCCTTCAGTTATTTTGTAAAGCTAAACTGAGAGCAGGCAGAGAACATGCCCTATGGCCTTTTCCATATTTAAAAAAAAAAAATCACAACCACTTGGAGAATTAAACATGGAAAATATTTCTTAGAAGTAAAGATACCTGTTGAACAGCAAGCGTGCTGTCCATTTCTTCAAAGGATTCATCAGGCCAGTTGTAAAAATCCTATGAAAATAAAAGCAAGGTTTAAATCAATTTAAAAAGGAACGTGGGGGAAGAAAAACATGTCTGTTGCAGCTAAGGACTAAACAGAATCA